CATGTCGCCATATTTGTTTACATTCTCTTGCCATTTTTAAATGAAACGGGGTATACGAACGTCGGCCTTACTCTGTAACTAAAAGAAATAAATTTTAATTCGTTGTCATCAATCCTTACGTTGTATAGGTTTTCTAAAAGGTCACGATATCAGTAACATAACATTTTTATTTGAAATGTTTACCACACTCTGATTGTACGAAAAATAAATGGATATCATTATTTACTGAATAAGTTTTTTCAATTTCGTAAGAAAATATCAAAGTAATCTCATATTACTTTACCAATGTTACGTAAAATTGATCAGCCAATATCAATCTAACGAAACATATTACCGATGAAATGTAGTGCACGGTTTTCTTTCGGAGCTTATGTGGAGCATGCTCTGGCCCGGCTTCTCAATAACTTGAAAACTATCAGCGTCAGCTATCGCGGTTGGATAACTAATAAAGTAAGTTCGAGAGGAAAAGTAAACTAATATCGGGTTGTTCTGGGCGACTACCGTGCCGGAGCGGTGGCCGTCCGCCGTCCGCCGTCGCCGGTACGTCATCTTCACTACAGATTTATTACTTTTAATATGAGCACTCCTTCCGCTGCCTATGAATGTGCCTTTATTTTATTTGAACCTTTCGTAAGAATTTTTACATTTTTCTTTTAGATTTCTTTTCTAAATTACAAGAATGAATTAAAATTATTTCATTGTTAAAAAGCTTCCGACATTAATGACGACAAATATTTTGATGTTCTTGCTTGACCAATAAAGTAGTTATTGAAAACCAAAGAACTTATAGACAAACACCTTGTTATGCTATGTGTTATATATATTCATGTGTTCATGTATTAAGTATGAAATATTTAATTGGAAATGCTTCGTTGATTTAATTTTCAGTAAAACCTAGAAAATTTTTAATAATTTACTAAGTACTATAACGTGCCAGTTAAACCTCAATTTTCCCAATATAAAATAACATGTATTAGAAAGCTGGTGCTTATATTTATTATAGTGTACCAAAATTAAAGGTTAGATTTACTTTAAAGTTTACTTTTTGAAAATTTGCTTTTACCTCAAATGTTTTGACAAACCGACAGGCTTCTATTTCAGTGACAGGACTTGTATAAATTGGAAAGCACGTAATAAATATATTTTTGTTGCCTTATATTGAAATCACACAATTTTTTTTTATGAAAGATTTCACAAAAAAATGTGATCCGACAATTGGCTGAATTTAATCGTCGACTACATTTGACGCTTTTAAGAAAAAAATGTTGTTAGGATTTTTATGACGTTAGATTAAAATCATCCAATAACTTCGACGTTTGACGTTTTAGTTTATGGTCTACTTAGGACCTTGATGTCCTTACTAGATATTTATGTTTTAATTATTCTTCTTTTAGTTTATGATCTACTTAGGATCCCGATGTCCTTACCAGATATTTATGTTTAAATTATTCTTTGTTTGGATTAAAAAGTGTTATACAAATTTTCATATTTGCGCACCTAATAATATCACCTCTGTATACGTATTTCTTAAAAACAATTCTGACTAACCTATATTTTGCTAACAAATTCGTTTTATTGTCAATAATAATTATCGCAATATTAACATAAAGATATACCGAAGAACCTTATTAGCAATTCATATGAAAATAATAACCTTTAGACCCAAAAGTAACATTCGAAATCACGAAACAAAACAATGATCATTAGCACGACGTCCATCTTTCTCACTTCAAAAGTCGTTTCGAAAAGTTTCTTAAAATTCACGAAAAAGTTTCAGTACAAATTAAGAGCAAATTTTGCTCCGTCCGTTTAGCCATTAGTAATTTCAAAGTTCTAATGAATTTTCTTCACTGACATTGAAAAATGAATTTCAACCCCCATTTCAACCATTGGGATACCTCCAGATGCGTCATACATGTTCAGCGTCTATACTTCACATTATAACATACAGAGTTCCGCCTTTGATTAAAGTGTTAAGGCAATACATGAAAATAGATCTTAATTACGATTAAATACATTTTATTTCATTACACCGATAGTTACGTACGGATTTGCTACCATGTCTTATATTTATCGAGACCCCGTATTTCGGTGCTTTTGCAAGCGCCATGATCGCAGAGTAACTGAAGTCTTGCAGATAAGTGGTGTTGGTAGATATATCGATCTACCTTCATTCGAGTCCTCTTACGTTCGATACCCATACCACTGGTCACTAAGTCACCATTAACTCGCACCTTCTCGACACATAACACTCACTGTATCTGATCGCGAAACATTTGATAGATTCAGGACATAATCAGAACGGGTAATGAGTGACCTGGTAACGCGGCCACAGCATCCCAGGTCAGATCTCCCACTATAGGGGTTTTGGTGGGTAGGCTTCCTGGGACCCACTAAGCAGCTCATTGCCGGGTGGGTACACCGAGCACACCTTGTTGCTTGCCAGGTGACAGAGACAGTGCCAAAAGCATGTTTTTGACGTTAAAAAATTAAATAAAAAAGGACCAAACTAGAACTCCTAGATCCAGATTCATAAGCCACAGATTATCTCGACAGAAATAAAGAATACCTGTCAGTATAATGAAAGAAAGAAAGTGAGTGAATTATGTCGACAACCAGTGCGAGTTAGTGGTAACTTAGTGAATAGTGGTACGGGTATCGAAAGTAAGATAACTCGAAAGAGACTAGATCGATATATGTGATCATGGCGCTTGTAACAGCGCAGAAATATTGGGCACTCGATAAATATAAGATACTTGGTAGCAATCCCGTAAACGATTATCAATTTAATTTTAATGATTATAAAGGTTTAAAACAACATGTTATTATAAGGATAAATATTTCAAAAGAGCGCGCATCGGGCGCGTAGTCATTTATACGTTATCGATACTTTATATAAATTAAAGCGTTTCAGTAGTATAATGAAGAGATTAACTTTCTAACTAGTTTGTCTGTAGTGGACAAAATTCTGATTCGGTCATGAAAATTCTTTCAATTACAGGAAACTACATCATATGCGGGTTTCATAGGCTATATTTTACCTAGGCGAAGTTACAGGAAAACAGCTAGTCATGTGTGCTCGTAGTTTCACAACCGCAATGTATTTCTAATCTTCTTCTTCTTGGAAGCTTCATGTTTTGTAAAATTGTAATTTTTTAGTAACCTCGATTAATAATTAAGTTTGGATATCATTTGTATGATATAAGTAGGCAATCAATGCTGGTTCAACATATTCCACTTCACCAGAACATTGATTTATTATTATTATGTCCATTAAAACACGAAATTAAGTAATTCCATTTATTAAGCTATGTAGCCTGCACAATGTCAAGACAGAAAAGTGCCAAGTAAACTAACTACCTACATGTATTGATCTTATTCTTAAACAAGATAACCTGTAGGTATTTTAATTAAAATATATTTGATTTCATACATAACAATTATGAATGCTCCCAAAATACGAAAGAACAAAAGAAACTAAGGAGAAAAGCAGTCTGCGTTATTTATTGTATTAAATTAAGAATATTTGTTGATCAATACTATCGTGGAGGTTTAAATTTATTAGTGGATGTAAAATATTTTCAATAAGGGCGAGTATTCACAGTAGGCCCAACCTACGCGCCCCTCATTACCCCAAACCGTGCCCCATTAGGCTCACGGGCCGAAGTGCCCCGGACCGTAGTTAATCCACGTCCTCATTCACTGTTATTTCGAAGGTCTGATCTAATCTAAACAGGACTTAGGATGTTACAATGCCAGTATTTCGCGCGACTCATCCCTTTTATGTATTTGACTATCCTCATACCCGGCCCCCGTCGAACGCCCGGCGTTCGCCTTTGCTATAAAAGGAAATAACACTTCCGAAACTTCCGATGTGATTTCGTGTTAATGCCGTTGTATGAAAATTAATTATTTTATACAGAGGGGTAGGGAGCGACAAATTGTACTACCAGTATCTACCTATATCTTATAATGAGAACTTAGCAAATAATGTCGTATAATAGGTTATGAAATATAACAACAGCAGTGCTGAGTCGAGTGGCGGCAAAAGCCGAAGTGAAAGGGTCAATTTGGAAGCTATTATACGGCGGCGGTTACAGGCCTACTTCCGGCGGCTGCACTAAGCTGCCTGTTTCAATTCCTCGCTCAATTTCGGGCTTTCTGCAACGCTATTCAGTCTTAGCACGTTGCCTGTAAATACTGTAGCCTTCGTATGCCATAGAAGTGATATTTATTACCATTATAGATTAAACATTTTTCAATATTTAAACCATAGAGTCGGGAAATCGGTTCCGATTTTAATTAAAACGAAATAAATTTGATGAACCCGTTTCACAAATTATTTTGGAGGTGAAAATGTTTTAACAGTGCCTCAGCCATAAGCCGATTTCGGATTACCTCTTCATTTTTTACGATACCCGGAGAAAATTTACGAATTTAGATTGAGTATTTATGGATTCCATATCCGATATTCATTTATAGCGGGGCCGGATCCAAGCCCAGCCCCTACGAGGGAGACTCGAAAAGTTGGAAATGACTCATGGATAAATGCTTATCGAACTTTCATCCACACTTAAACATAATAGACGTTTGCGATGTCAACCTTCTTCTTTGACGAATATTAAATGATTTATAATATAATTTTGTCAGTATAATTAATGTGTTTTTATTTAATAATAAGTTTAAGTGATATAATTTAACTGATCTCTTCTTGGTTAAACTTACAAAAAAAATGTAGCATAACTATACTAACATAGATAAAATTAAGTCAATATTGTCCTTAAATATTCTTTCAGCTCTGAAGGAAGACTCAATTATATAAAATACTCTATTTGACACCGAAAAGTACATCTCACAATACCGTTCTCATATAAAGTTTGAAAGTAACTATAAAAACTAAAAGTAAAGGTAGATAACTGAGTGCGGGTCGGCGCTGCACCATCCTTGCGTTAGTGGAAAACCGGTGTAGAACATTGTAGCGAGGCAGCAAACGAGGAGTTATGACGGCGGCGGAGGATTACGTGAGTGGATGTCGTAATAAAGCTTGCGATGAAGCCGTTACCCGGAGATAAACGTAAATATCTCGGGCCGTAGTTGTCGGTCGCTCACCGCCCGCCCGGACCTACTGCACAGCGCTTGCTCGTCTCATTGTCTTTATCATCAATAATATTAAGTGTTTATTATCATAAAAAAAAATTATAATCACCAAATTACAGTTTGAAAACTTAAAAAAGACTACGTTCTGTGAATTTTCCTGCGAATTTAATTCTCAATGGAGGAGAGATAAAGCCGTGCAGAGGTGCCGGGGGCGGCGGCGTTATAGTATCCTTTGTGTTCCATAACGTATGTATTCACGCGCTTGCTCTTATCTCGTAAATTAATTACATAAATCTTGTTTGCATACGTCTTAAGCGTATGACATGCCGCCATAACTCAACCAGAGCGGAGGTTTACACTGCTAATGAAGGCCGACAATGCGACAGGACATGCGTTATAACAAAACAGATTTACTAATTTTAGAATGATCGGTAGATCTTTTTATGATCATTACCATTAATACGGTTTAGTTTTGGTTTTGATCGGACCTCATAGACGTTTAAGCTTCAGATGAAAGCTGCACATTAACGGAACTTATTTCCGATAAGAATATTTACCTGATTCATGATTTGTCAGTAGTCTTGTTTCGGTTATCATATCTAAAAAAAAACTTTTGTGCTCTTAGTAAGCACTTGCAATTCAGATTTACACCTCAGTTTATTATTTTTCACGTTCTCAACACTTACTTAACGTTATTTATGAACGTTAAAATAGAGGAGTTTTCAATTCCATCTAAGTTTACAAAGAATTCGTAAGTTAGTGCTGTGCTCTCGGCAGCAGTCGAGATCAGCATTCCTGATAAAACATTCTGTTCGTTTACATTCCCACTACATAATGTACTACTTCTTAGGGTGTTTTTTAAGTCCATTTGATTATTTATTTCGGTGTAATCATCTTAAAATTTCTTAAGGGAAACTTTTCTTTGATTTAATCCCGTTAATTGTGAGTGGATATGTCATTAAGGTGAAACACCACTGTTAAATTTTTTTCACTGACTTTAAAAATGGAGGTTATTATTAATTCAACTTGTTTTAGTATGTAGGTATCGTATACGTTCCACGATATCTAGTGGAGAGATTTTGATGATATTTATTTAAAAGGATTGTAAAGATTGCATCAGTAGTTTTATGTTGTCCTGGGTAGTTCAGTGGTTAGAGCAGTCGCCCGGATTACCCAAGGTAATGGGTTTGAGTCCCATCTCAGAGTGCCAGGGTCAAAATGGACTTTTTAAGCATTTTTCATTAAGATATTATTATACTATCAAACTAAAATAAACCAAACATTACATTATTCAGTTTTATTATATCATTCATCACGATGTTATTCAAATGATATATGATTGCTTCTCATCTTACTTATTTTAACACAAATGATTTAAGCATATAAATATTTGTAAATAGTTAATACTGTAAGCATTCATCCTCGTTATCTTAGTCTTAAGGCCATGATTTCCCAGTGGTAGTTTATCTGATGGGACCACAACGTCTTATTGCAATCACGTAAACAACGAAGTCCAGAACGCTAGAGCGGGTTAAATAAATCAAGAGAGTCTTCGATTAAATTACTCTCATCATAATTAAAAGGCAATCTGTGAACTTGGATTTATATTTTTATTTATTATCTGATTGTGTGTGAGTACATGATATATTTGCGGTTAATAAATTGTGTTCTGGTTGTATATAAAGCTTAAACTTTTATTTATTGAAATTTGGTCGGTGGTTACGGGGAAAGGAAACCCTTGAGAGCCTGAGGTTGCATTTTTTGAGAAGCTGCTCTTGCTGAAGCAAGGTAGTAGAAGAGTTGAAAGATTGTAAAAAGAAAAGGCACTTCACTGTTATTTTCACTGTGCATCTGGCATATACACTTGTGCTCGTATGTGAGCAGAGGGAAATGTTAGAGCAGGGTCTCAATTCTGCTAATTTTAAGGTAATAATGATAGCTTAACTAATTGCAATTTTCCATCGAACTTTCTATCATTGCCTAATGTTTTCAGTGCAATGTCTTCTTCATAAATCAGTGGTGACAGGTACGTTTGATTTTTGTGATCTATTACCAAAAACTGTGGTTAAAGCGTTTTTGACTCGCTTTAATTAAGCTCGCTACGTTAGAAAAATTAGAGCCCTAGGCCGGCGCGGGTATTGCATTCTGTTGACACACGCCGATATAATGTGATATTTAGATTTTATTGAACTGATTATGTCTACAATTTTACGATGACAGAATGTTTCTAACATGGAAGTAATTTAAACAAAGCATACATGCAATGTACTTAATTTTTGTCGTTAATAGAATTTATTTATCTTATCCGATGATTAAAAAATAAGAAATGGTCACCATAGCAGAGAGCTCTACTCAGTATAATAAAATAGCATCTAATAATATATGAAAAGAAACATACTCGTATATAGTCAAAACATTGGACTTTTATCTTTTAAACTCGTGAAAAATTCACGTTTCCTACAATGTGTCCATTCACCAAACTTAGCGCCTCTGCCAATCAAAATGATTCAAGTATCAAGTCATCGAGCTATTCGCACGCCTTACCATCGTCGCTTGTGAGTGAATGAGGCCTAATGCGTTGATATGTGAGGTGTTATACCTTATTATTATAGAAACATAAAAAATACGGCATTGAGGCCGCATTTCCAAGTACAAGTATTAAATAAATGAAAAATAATAATCTTATAAATTGTATGTAATTTTTTTCTCATCACGGTCAATTATAGCCAACTATTGGAAAAATATTATTTTGCTGTTCGATTTTTTCTGGACAATTTCAGTTAACCATCAAAACGAAAAATAATAACATATTATCCATCGTTCGATTAGTTTTGATCCTGAGCTTATACAATAAGCCCTTAGGAAACGGTCTTGTCCGAGCGTTTTTATTATTTTTGTCCTTAAAAACAAATTACAAAGCGTTCAAACGCTTTTACGATGCACTGCAGTGATCTTTTTCCATTTTTATGGAAATAAACTTTATAAGAAATCCACGTGTACATTTAAAAAATTCGTGCAAACGAATATATTGCATTCTTGATAAATGGATGTTACCTCTCATGTATGTCGACGTATAAAGCTCATTCAAAGCGAAATTCTCTTGACATAAATAAGATTGTTATTGCATTCTAAATAAGTTGAAAGTGTCGCAAAGAGTAAGTGTAGGTGCGGTGATGTCAAGCTTCATCCTTTTTACTTAAGCCAGAGGCGACGTCCATGATTTCCCAACGGTGGCTCATCTGGCAGGGCCGCGGCCGCGACGCCTTATTGCAATCACGTCACCCGGAGACACACCTCACCTTGATGAATGCTCCACCACCAGAGCATAGACACACAGCCCATTGTTTCCCGCTTACGTAGTCTGGGCACGATGTGACAAATTGCTCTTGATTGTGAGGAGGACGCGCTCCCGCTATTCATTATCGTGTCTTCGTTATTGTTTCATATAAGTTACAACTGTAATTGAACAAATTAATTTCTTTTTAATTAATTAAGGATAATAGTTTTTAAATACACAGTCAGTATATCGCAAGAGAAATAACGAGGGAATCCTCAAAGTTAGATAGCGGATGGTGATATTCGGGACATTCCCATGTATGTAACAGCGACAGAGAGATCGAAACATGTTCGAATCAGATGAAGTAGTCTTCATTTGTGTGAAATCAGAATATTCTTTGAGTATCCAGTTTGACAATTCGTTTATAAATTTTTGTGCGAATAAAATTTCGATATGGAGGCACAGCGGTATAATAACACTTCAGATATAACTGCTATGGATGCTTCACACAATATGTGTACTCTGATTGTTTATATTAAATTATTAACCGCTTATCAGGTCATACAAACGGGAACTATGGCCGAATATTATCAATAATTTTGTACTGGATTATTTTTCGTAATTCTTTAAAAAAATGTTAGTTCATGCCCGTGATTTCGATATTGCACTAATAATAAGATATACTACTTTATAAAACTATGTGATAGTATATGCACAAAAATTTCGATTCATTTTTTATTAACAATATTAACATTGGATCTAACAAAATAACACAAGTGACTTCAAACTCTTGAATTTTTACCAACTTGTTATATAAATATATGTCGGCGGGTAGTCAGAAGGGGCTATTACGAAGCCCAAATAGATCGTCCATATCGGAGGACTATCTTTAAAATAACACTGCAGGTGTGTATACCAATGTGGACTTATTCCATTTTATCACTTTTCATACTAGAATATAAAGATGAGCGTGATGTCGTCGGATATCTTTACTCCTCGGCGATCGCAAACAGAATGCCTACCAAAATGGCGGCAACTTGCTTTTCGTTAACGAACTGTCAAAGTCATCGATAAAAGTATCGATGATCACGCACTCTCTACAATCGAGTAATTAAGTAATCGAGTAACTACCAATTAACAAAAAGAAACTAAATCAAAAGATCTTTGTAACGATGATGAAGATATTCTGCGACATATATATATATATATGTCGCAGAATACATTATACATATATAATGTAACCTGTGTTGCTCGTTGATTAGGTTGGTTTATATAGGTAAAATAATTTAAAAAATCGATCCAGTAGTTTTTAAAGTTTGCCATAATAAACACAAAATAAAATCTTTTCTTCTATGTAATATAGATTCATTACTTTAAAAAGGATAAGTCATCATCGGACTCTTCGTGTACAATGTATCACAGTGATACTTCATCCACCACTTTTTGCAACAATTTTATGATACAATAAATTATTGTTTGATTTGTAACTACTGTGCAAACAAACATTATTTTGATGAAAAATTAAGAACTGATTTTTGCCTCTTAAAAATACAAGACCCGCTTTGTAATGACTTTAGTAGGGTAAGAAAGGTGCATACATACTTTTTTTTTTCATATTATTGTAAAGATACATCTCTATTTACTACAAACAGTCTGTTTATTATTTTTAATTATTTATTAAAGTAGGTAAATGTGTTTTTATATTACCATATTATACCGTGTCTTTTTTAATTAAAAAAAAAAATATTTATCATCTCATCTATGATTTTAATGTAAAAGTTGATTTTGTTTTCTCTATTTGTTATGTTTTTAAATAGTAATGGGTGCAATCATATCAGAGTCACACAGATTAAAGGTGTATGTACTTAAAAGGGTTATTACTCGTATAAAATTTTGATTATTATTTGATTAATAATTTTTGTTAAGGTATTTGTTTGACGATTTAGTTTCAAAACCGTAGAGACATAACTATAATTTTGCCATACATACTTTGTTACTAATAATTACATAAACAATAATTAGTAATACAATTATCAGATATATCGATTGATCTATCGGGAATATTTACAAAATCAAATGCTTATAAGAAATTTAATTAAAAATAGGATCATTTTTTTTTATACAGAAAAAAAAGCAGATTTTTATTACACAAAATTACTTTATCTCATTTACATCACGAACAAGCTTTATTGAATAAAAAACCCAAAAGCTGCGAATAATAATCACAGTTATTTTACCGAATATATAGCATTGAAGAGTCAATTTGCACTAATTGACAGGATAAAGTGAATCGGAGACTGCTGACCGAGCCTGACTTGTCAGATTTCGTCGTTTAGACGGAAAAAAATATAAAGCTTGGAATACTCATTTTTCCTTAGCATTTTTCCTCTTTGGATTTTCCAATAACTGTAATTTAGTAATTTACGCATAAAAACTGGTTAAAATAAAAAAGATACATGCCTTGGTATATGCACAATTATTTTTAACTAAGTTTATAAGGAAACAATACCATTGTTTAATAAACAAAAATAAATCAATGGGATTGTTTCCATAGTAAACAGGTTTAAATATTCACTGTATAATTCACTGTTTTAATTGGTAGAAATATAATAAAGTTCGGCGGCAATAATGATAAATGGCAATGGGCTCGGAACGGAGGTGGCTGGGGACTATAAATCTCACGCCAAAACGTAAATGTTCAGAATATCAAACGTTAGAAACGATGAAAGAAATTTTGAATACCGGTTAGACCCGCCAGAAACCTCTTATATATAAATCAGAACCCAGAAAAAAAATACAAAAGCTTTTCTTTCACGAAATCCAGAATGTAAACAAAATTTAAGATATTACATTTCCCATAACTGACTAGGACGTTTACTCTATTGTTTCGCAAGATGCGTCGAGACGTTTGAAATTGAACTAACAGTAAAATGAAAATCTTTACAAACGAAATCTATTTAGTGACGTCGTTTTCAATCGGAGCCGCCCGTTCTACGTCACCGTCTTGGAAAGCAAAGAGAGTAAATGAAGAGTTCCTCACAAGTCGTTCAAATATTCCGGTGGCGCGCGGCTGCACCGGCCGACGACACGCTCCAGCCCGCACCCGCGCTGTAATCAGCTTTTGTGCGCAGTAATTGGGTGTCTGAGCTGCCAACCGAAGCATTTATTCCCGATAAATTGAAAACTGCTTTGTGCTTGGAATCAGTTGAAGCTGCGGGTAGGGTTTTTATAAGTTTATAGAAGCATCTGTGATCACACCCTCCAGTGTCTGTATTCCGCACATGGCCACTTTCTTATTCATACGATTATCCGGCTAACGGACCATTCACTTTATGTTTATTTTCTCCTTTAAAAGCTTTCATACAGTAAAGTGCTTTTTAAATGTATGGCATTTTAACAAATAATATAGAAGCGACGAAAAAATTGTATCAGAGTTATTAATTAATAAAGTAAACAGATAATTTACGTATTCAGAGCTTCTAATTTATGAGCTTTATGAGTAGAGAGGGACTCTTAAAAATAATCATTACTTAATTAAAGTGAGAACACAAATTTTATTCCAGTTAAGCTTTAATGAATTTCCCATTTTCTTAGAGACCGAGGGAGTCCCAGTGATGTAACATAACGCGGAAACCTGTATAAAATTGCGATAACGCTAGTAGGTAATAGTCTCGCTAATGAAAATATTGCGTCGTTAGAGATATCCTCCCTCGCAATTGTAAGGTCCTCGCCGTAGTATCTACGAGGTGGAACGGCGTCATTTACATATTTTAATAAAATAATATCGCAACTGAATCGTAACTGAGAACTTGATTTAAGTTCTTACCGCGATGAATGTAAATTTGCCACTGCCGGCGCCACAATTCCAGATTTCAATTCTGGAATTAATGGGAGCCGTCGTGGGCTGAGCGAGCCGCGTCTAATATTTGCGTTACTTCCGGGAGATTCTCTTTAGGAATGGAATAAATTAGTGCCAATAAGTGAAGCTTGCATTAGCTTGGATGCCACCGATCGATAACGGCAAATAAAAGTGGTTCAGGAGGTTAATGACAGTTATCTGTTATGTGTTTAAGGTAATATTCGGCAAGCGGCGCACGCCACCACTCGGCCCTGCTAAGCGTGCATTAATATTGTCAATAGTTGGAGTTAGTGGAAGTGAAGTACGTGTTCCGCCTGCCGCTATCTACGGCACAGCTCGCGCGGTGAATTCGAATGGCCTCTCACACCGTCGTCGCACCCGGTCGCCACCTCACGCCCTCCACCCCGTAACGCCCCATAAACTCGCGTCTTAATTTTAACTTTATTTCTTACCGCTACTGTGTTCCAACAAAATTAAGTGTGAACGTACCGCTGAAGGATTCGCCAGGGTGTTATCATGAGCTTTTATGCCTATTTAGGAAAGCACGCGTTCATTCGTATATCGCCAGCCTGGGAAGATAAATAACAGAGATTTAATTAAAACGACAGTATAATCACTTGTTACAACAATGATGCAAAGAGAATGTAAACTTTTAATCCATACTTTACTCGGTGTTTGTATTATCAAATAGTATGCTTTACTAGGATTCATTGAAATATAATAATACAAAAGTATCTTGATAAGACTTCAATAAAAAGTTAGGCACGTTGCCATAATAAGTTGAGCTACAACAATAATACAGAAACTAAATTGGCAATTCCGGTGGTTACGTATCTGGTTATTGCGAGTTTACATCGAAGGCACATTGCAGCGTTTGGAGTTTTCTCAAAGGTAGAAGTTTTCTTGGGCGCATGCAATTTCGAAGTTGCACAAGAAGCCGGCCAGCCGACTGGAGCGAGAAGAGGACGCTGCGAGCACGCCAACTTGGCGCCTCGCCCCGCACCCCGCGCCGCCGATTTCGCCCTCGCCAACCTCACGAGCTCTACACAATAGCGATTATTGGGGCAATCGGCGGCGCCCTAGGCCGCGGCCCGGACCGAGACGAGCCCCGCGATGCAAATAAAATTTGTAGGAGGCCGTGGCCGGACAACGCTGGCCCTCGTTATTATTCGGCTCTCGCGGAATTGCTTTTATGTCCTTAATGGAAAAGCGAGATATTTATTTCGGGTTTACGAGAAGACCTTCTTTTAACATTTTCCTTGTTATAATTCAAGTTATGTCTGAAATTTATACGATTCCAATTTCTTGTTTGATTTACAGTATATATTTTTATCCGAGTTTTAGTTTAGTGTACTTTGACTCAGTCCTCCACAACATTATTTTATTTCTTCAGTGTTCAATATTATATTAGTGTTTATTATTAGTAATCTTACTTATTATTAAGCCCCTATAACAATAAAATTTAATCCGTCAAAGCGAGACGCGTGAAAAAAGGCTTAAAACTTGCCCTGTATAGAAAGTAAGCTGCTGATCGCGGTGATAAGGGGCTTAACAACAAATGAACACGCGGCATTACATCCTGCCTCTGTAATTTTTTCCTGGATATATTCATTAATTCTAGCCCGCATATTTAACCTGATATCTCTTGAAATTTCTCGTTGTTCTGTGCTGTCACCGTCGGACGTGCCTTTCGTACAGAATTTCTAATAAGCATCCCCTCTTGTACCCCCCGCGCCAAATTTTCACGAGTTCATTAGGTGACTCTACTCTTTATTGTTTATTTTAGTTCAGAAACCTTTTTAACCCTTTCCGTTTGTGTTGCGCTTCATTAGATATAACTTCTGAGGCACTTGTTTGTTTTGCCATTTGCTCTTTGATTTTTGGAGTATTCTTGATTTAAAGAATATATATATAATAGGGGTAAGTAGGATTTTGTTTCCTTTGTTAATAAAAACTAATGATACAAGCTCCATGGTAAAGTTTGTCTTACAGATAAAACATGTCTTTCCAGTATGAAATGAAACTTTTGACATAGGTTTAATATACGGTTCTAAGTTGGATGTAGTTACAAGATAAACTTACGTTGTTGAGGTGAGTGGCTATAAATAACGTTCACCAGTTTCGCCAGTTGGTGCGAACTGCCCCCTTTAATTATGAAAATGTATGCGAGGCTGAGGAAAGTTTGTGCAATTATGCCGCAGCGGGCGTGCAGTGGTCGGCCATGTCTCACTGCACCACGTCGTCGTCTACGACTATTCAATTACCGAACTACACTCGCATAGAATTTCAAGATGCCACTAATGTCGATTCATATGCATAAACGAATTTCAATTCTATATAATTTATAGTTTTCCTAAAGTAGCTTTGTTTAAATTAATGCAATAGTATACATTATAATGTATATATTATTTTGGGCTATGTTACATTTCAGTTTATATGTTGTCGTCGTTAATATTGCCACAGCAGGCTACTCGGAAACCGTAATGTTAGTCGCTTATTTACGAGACGATCTTCCCCAAACATCATCTCCCGAAGAGCTTCATATAAAAGAAGCGAGCAATAAAATCCCGCGGTCCCGGGTTATTTACAGCGGGGTCAATTATGTAACAATAAAGTTTTTAGTGTTGCACAAATTGTCGATTTGGAGGCGCTGACGGATGGCCGCGAGACGACGCCGGCAAATGAGCACACGATAAAATTATCGTTAGCGGTAACGACATGAATAAATGCAAGAGGGTGGTTCGCGATAGAGGAGTGAGAAGCCTCCGAGCGGCTCAGCTCTCGTTAGGGCTCTTGTGACGACTGCATACGCCGCACCTTCCGATCTCTACACTACGCTTATTTTTGCTCGACATCTAACTACTGCATCCACTGAATTTTCTAATGAAAGAACTCGTTTCCGCTAATCTTGTTCATGGTATCGCATTACGTTTCTGTGGATTATGTTTTCTAGAAATATACAACGTTTAATAAGAATAAAAAAAATAATATACAACAAAGAATACTTATTTATAGTTACTTGGTTATCGAATCTAGTGTTTACTTTGATTTATAGTCGACCGAGCGAGTAGGCTGTCGGTAATTTTAAACGTCACGCATTATGATGAATACTCTCCGTTTTCTCGAAGTTCGCAGTAACTATAACCGTGTGACTCTATAAGCCTCTTTTCCCTACATTAAATTATCACAGTTGATATAATAAAGTCATATTAAATATTACTATATAATTCTTTTCTTATCAAAATTAAACGCTGTCTTGGAAAAAATAATATTATTTATTTATTTATTTCATTTATTTATTCTTTATTGCCTAACTAAGGACAAATGGCGGACTTAATGCCATAGAGGCATTCTCTCCCAGTCAACCAGTTAGATTGTACAGAACAGTAGTAGGCGGTAAAGATTAAAAACGGTACATAAAATCGTAACTATAAGCATTGGCATATATACATACAATACATATACGCATATATACATAATATTAATATACATACATTATATATACATATACATTATAAGATATAACGAGTACTGAAATGGTGGTGTCTGATTATGAAATGGAAGTAGACAGGAAATAGTGGTTACGAGCTGCAGACTTAAATGCGAGTTTGTTTGGGGCATTACGAACTTCAAATGGCAATGCATTCCATAGTCGGATGGCAGTCAGAGTGAAAGAGCTGGATACGTAGCTGGAATGGTGAGTAGGTGTTTGAAGGATCAGACTACCACTGGAGCGAAGGTTTTTCTGGTGGGAGGCCCCGAGGAAGTGAAACCTAGATTTCAAATACTCAGGAGTATGTGGATCGAAAAGAATGTTAAAGAGCGTACATACGATCCTTAGGTTTCTGCGCTCACGAATGGGCAGCCACTTAAGTTGTAGACGGAAGTGAGAAATGTGGTCATATTTACGTAACCCGAAAACGAAGCGAATGGTGTTGTTGAGAAGACGATCCAGTCTGTTGAGGAAAATCTGATTGATATCTGAAGTACAAATATCAGCATAATCAAAAAGGGGATGTACAAGGGATTGAATTAACTCAGATTTAATGCAGGAAGGAAGAAAATTCTTCAGCCGATATAGAAAACCAAGACTGCGGTGTATTTTGCGACAGATATTTTCCATCTGCCCATCCCAGTGCAAAGAACTATCAAGGACAAGCCCAAGGTTTTTCACAGTATTAGTATATGGTATTACCGTGCCACCATAAACAACAGCAGGAATTGAAAATCTGTTGAGCTTCGCAATTTGACGTGGGTTCCCGATGATAATGGCCTGACATTTGTCGGGGTTTACAGAAATTCCAAAACTATGTGACCATTCAGCTATCCGTGAGAGATTCCTATTGAGTAGTTCAACAGCTTCTTTTTGCTAATTTGTATCTTCATTTTTATAATAACCATAACATTTTCGGCAGTCTGTGTAATTCAGTATTCTATACAATACCTAGGTAAAAATCTTAAAAATCTTAGCTAACGTATGAAATACTATTTACTTCCTCTGAAATTATGGCCTTTGATGCTGCTTGACTTATAATCTATGGTCCAACGTTGATAAAAACATCTTTGTTGTTTGTTATCTACAGTTTTTCCCTTGTTAATGTCTCATCATCATAACCAGCCCTTTTACGTCCCTGCTGCAGGGACACGGCTTTTCCTTGTAGATGATTAAGAAAGTTAATGTTAATTAGTTAATGTCTGGTCATCATTAATTGGAAGTATTGGGTGTACTTCCTATCAAGCTTTAAATAAAAAATAATTTATGTTTCTAAGTAATTGGAAAATAAAACAAATGCCGTATGTCCTAAGATTATTCTGCGATTGCCACAACGCGTTGTGAACTATTTTTTTCAATGAGCGATTTAGATGTTTGAGCGTAACATATATAAATTACCTATTGGTCCGTGGCATTGTTAGGTGTGCAAATGACACCACGGTCTTATAACGAACGGACTTACGAGTGAGTGAGACTATGGTGAAGTGTATGAACGTGATATTAAGTTTTGTTTTCAAATAAAGTAACAAAAATTTTGTTTTTAGCCCTTGACAAATCACATGTCCGGTCGTCCATTGTAGACTGCAATCACCATTGGAATGACTCTGCCAAATATATAAAATATTGCCAGTGAACAATGAAGCTCATTGGCAATAAAAACTAATATAATCCAAGCTCCACAGTCTAACCCATCGGCGCAGTGTAGCCTGTCTGTCCGTTTTAAAAACTCTACTACATGAAGTGAGCTCATGGGCTACATGAGCTCATCTCAGCTTCACCTTTTTAACATTGGCAATATAAATGTACGGCATCAATCCCTCCGGGCTAGAATGAGATCAAGATTTAAAAGTGGACCGTTTAGTATAAAAAACCTAGTAGAATTCGAATTATATATTAGTGATAGTATCCATTAACGTTCACAATTCACACTTTATCTGGGGGCCCCAGGTAGGTATTCTATATAATGCGTTGTACGTAGGTATTGTACAGAATACCTGAATGATATAGATTACCGGCAACATGTACTCGTACGTACATGCATTTTAATTTTCCACTTAATAATTGTGTTAATTACAAAACATAGGTAGAATTGGATTGAAATATATTTATATCCGAAAATTGAATTGTACGTAAGCCAACGACAATTTAAATTGCCGTTTAACTTTAGTCTCGAAGAATCGACATTCGCACGCCTGGTTTACATTTTGTAATAGCGGCATGTTATTGTGAAAAGCCTCAACTACCTCCGCGATTAGTCAAACGATGTGACGTAAGCTCGCGTGTCGTGAAATATGTGATTCCAAGTCGGTGGCGGGTGCGCTCACATGTCACGTGATCACGTCGTCTCCGTTCCGCCCCGACCTCCACTCTTAATCGTGTCGTCATCGCGAGTAGGCTCCGCTCCTGTCGGCCCGCTACGTCGCTGCCATAAATCAGTCGACACCGTTTGATGGATGATGCATTCCCTACCGAAAAACAGAGGTATACCTATTAAGCCACAGATTCTATCTTATATCCGTCTCAAATCTGTAATAGAGTTTCTCCATCACCCTTTGTAAAC